TTCAGAAATGGTGTTCTGGTTGTGATATTGCATTGTACAAAGCTATTTGCTACATAGATTCCACAAAATCCAGTTTGCTAACAGGCCATATCAATGATAATTCCGATGATGTGTTCATCGAATATTTCGTAGATGCAGACTTGTGTGGCAGCGTAGACGACTGCTACAGCACCTCCGGAGCGTGGATCCAGTTATCAGGAAAAAATACTTCATTCCCTCTATGTTGGGTTTCCAAAAAGCAGACAGCCGTATCTCGAAGCACAACAGAAACAAAAATTGTCGCTTTGGCAAATATTCTATTTCTATCTTTCGATCCATCAGTAAATTCGTTCTACCATCCGTAAGTCACGACAATCAACCCTTCCTATAGGTTACCGATTTTAAAATTTCCGCCACCGCCTTAAGCAATTTATTATATATATTTTATTTAAATATATTAAATATATATTATTAAATTTCCATATAAAAAAAGGGGATAAATCAGAAAATACAAAATAATAAAAATAATTATATATATATAATAAATATATTTAATTAATTAATTATAAAAATCAAAATTTATTCTTATCTTAGAAATCGTATAAATAATAAAACCTCGGAATATTAACATCAAACAAATAGACGATATCCCCAATTAAAAGAAATTGTATTTTTAATTATCATCTTAAGGGATATATTTTTCCATAAAAATTAATTAATTTTACATAAACCTAAAAATTATTTTTTTTATATATATATATTAAATAGGAATTATTTATGGATAGTTCCCCATATCTTTGTATGGGGTTCTAATTTTTTGCGCGATATCCGGTTCCTCCGTCTCCTCCTCCATCTGTCCGCCGTGCCCCTATTGGTCCTGCGTTGCAGTCTGCCGTTTACATGGCCGTCAGCCCCTCTAGCCGTCAGCCTTTGCGTCAGCCTTTGCTGTTCCAGGGTTGCAGCCTGCCCTTTGCCTGCACATAGACGCTGTTGTTAAGGCGTTCAAACCTGCCATTTGCCCTCTGTTATTAGGGCGTCCCTGGCCTAGCGCGCCGCGCGGCAGCTTCCTCGCGGTAGCTTCCACCCAGCCCTGGCCGTAAGCCCCTGCTGCTCCAGCGTTGCAGCCTGCCGTTTAGGGCGTCCCTGCCTAGCGCGCCGCGCGGCAGCTTCCTCGCGGCAGCTTCCACCCAGCCCTGTGACCGTAAGCCCCTGCTGCTCCAGCGTTGCAGCCTGCCGTTTGCCTGCATAGCCCTCTGTTGTTAGGGCGTCCCTGCCTAGCGCGCCTCGCGGCAGCTTCCTCGCGGCAGCTTCCTCGCGGCAGCTTCCACCCAGCCCTGTGGCCGTAAGCCCCTGCTGCTCCAGCGTTGCAGCCTGCCGTTTGCCTGCATAGCCCTTTGTTGTTAGGGCGTCCATGCCAAGGGCGCCTCGCGACCGCTTCCTCGCGGCAGCTTCCACCCAGCCCTGTGGCCATAAGCCCCTGCTGTTCCTCCAGGACAAACCAAAAGTCTAGGCATATAGTCATATAGTTCGTTGAAGCTCGTATTGTGTTTCCGAAACTTGATACTGAATGTTATTTTAATTAAGGCAACAAACCCCTCGACAACTTTTAATCTGTTTGTTTCCAAGGTTTCCACTCACACCATGGAGATGTGCGAGAACTGCGAGCTTGAAGCAAATGGGGCTATGCAACTCTTGGGGCATGGAATGGCCTTGCCTAGAAGTACATCGGAGAATACAAAGATGCGGAAAACAATCGATGATGGATTCTCGGAAAGACTCTGGTAATCAGTCCCTGTCCAGAAAAAGTCCTGTGTATGCCCTAGCCAGCCGAGCCCCCTAAAGTTGGGGGGGTCGGCGGCACCCGGGCGCTAGCCCATTCTATATTATATCTAACAAATTTATAGATAATAAAATTAGGTGGGAGGAAGGTGTATAGGTGACAAAATTGGGTGTAAGGGCGGTATACGAAAAAATTGTCTGCGAAAAAATTATTTTTCTGTGCGATAAATTAAGTAATAAAATGCAAGAAAAATATGTGTAAAAAGATTGTACGTAACCAAATTATGTATCACAAAATCGTATTTTAAAAAAATAAATTCCTTTGCAGTGTAGATGTCAGCAAGCGCCAAGAGGGATTCATTCTCAAATATATAAACATACACAAAATTATAATTAATCAAATAATAACAAAATGTCAATACTCGGTTACACGGAAATATGGCAAAGGAAGTAAAAATAGAGATGTCAAGAGTGTAGAGATGTAAAGAAAGTAGAGATGTGAAGAGAGTAGAGAAGTAAAGAATGTAGAGATATGAAGAATATAGAGATTACTAGAGAATAGCGATGTAAAGAAGCAGAGATGTGAGGAGAGTAGGGATGCAAAAAGAGTAGAGATATGAAGAAAATAAAGATGTCAAGATTATCAAGACGATAAAGGGGTGAAGACAATAGAAATGTCATTAAGCGTAGGTAGTTGAAGGGAGGGGAAGTGAAGAGAGTAGAGAATTGAAGAAAGTAGGAAACAGAAGGGAAATAGCAGTGAAGAGAGTAGGGGAATGAAGAGAATAGGGAAAAGGCTCCTAAGTTGTCAACAAGAAATAAATTGTCAAGATTCAGAGATGACAAGCGCAAACCGGATGGAGAGACAGCGCCATCATCAGAAGAGGAGGTTGAAAGAGAAATGTCAGGGAGAAAAAAAATGTCCAGACAAACAGCAGCCAACCGGAAGATCTGTCAAGATTCAGAAATGTCAGGAGCAAGCCGGAACAAGAGACAGTGGCAGCATCAGACAAAGATGTCGAGAGCAAGACAAGGACAAACACTTCCCCGGGCTCTACTTGTAAAATGACAAGTCCATAGGCCACCCACAAGTAATCACAAATAATTATATTCAATGACCAAGATATTTTCTATGGAATCAGGGAGGTAATCCCTGTTTTCCTCATATATATATATTAATATATATTAATATATATTAATGTGGTAACGCATGATACGACCTTACGGACGATTGTAAAAGGGTGATATGTATGGATATAAAAATGACTACGATTCATTTTTGAGTTTAGATTCCTGTGTTGATATGTGTCATTTTATTTGATGCATTTTCTAATCGGCGGATGTTTCTCCGCGAGAATCAATCGTCTTTGATCTGGGCACGGCCCAGCAAGGATCTGAATCTTGACAGCGAGGCCATGAGCAAAATGCCTGTGACCTCAGCATCTTCCCATTTCAGCTGGTGAAACCCAGAATTAAAGCTGACGAATGGAAAGAATGGAAAGGACAATGCTGATTCTCTTGTTGAAATATGTTGAAATACTGTCTGTCTTCACTAGAAAACCAATTTCAATGGAAGGACAGAGCAATTTAGTCCCAGTCGCAGGTAATGTCAGCGCAGTCCCCAGTGTCCCAGACAGCAGCATCAACCAAGCTCCCTCAAGGTACCTCAGACAGTCTGCATCCCAGTTGTCCAGTAGGAACGAAACGCAGACAGCCTCTCACACAATAGCCAAGCGACCACAAACGTTTCAGCATGACGATGCTCCACAACAGTAGCGGCCTTACAATATCAACAGGAGGTCAGAACATTGCAACTCCCAGGGCCGATACAAATTCATATACCGTCCCGCAATTTAACATGGCTATGGAGTATGGCCCACTTACAGATGATTTTCAAACATGATGCATCTAAGTACCGGAGGGTATGTCCATTACATTCCATTAAATTCTCTTCAATCATCATGTTTGATACTTAAATCCCACTAATCCATTGGATATCCATTCTTTATGATGTCCAATGTCCAACAACACCTCCTCTGTTGAGTAGAATCGTCTGGAGTACAACATGCCCATCCAGCGACAGCTAAGGCAGAAACCCTCGCACCAGGGCTGCAATGACAACATCGAACGATGAAATTAACCTTAGGTGCTCCAAGCTTTGATGCACAACGAAAAAATACAACAATACTCAATAATATCAATTAATCAATAAGCAATATTGATAAAGTTCAAAATCATGACAATTGAGATTATTGAGATATATTGACATAATTTACTAATTGTATCACTAACAATCAGTTATGCCCACATCAAGATGGTAGTCTATTCCCAGGTGCAGCTCAGCTGCCAAAGAAAGGGCAAGGACGGCAAATAAGAGTCCTGGGACCGACACACTGAGCCCTGGGAGAATCTTGCTTCATTTGCTCCGTGCTTCAGCAAGAATTGTAAGGTAGAAAGAGTAAAAAGATGTTTTAAACAAATAAAAAGAGTAGTTCGTTCAGTTTTATCTGTCAGACCTGAGTCATATCTGTCCAAATCATTGAGTCTTGGTAAAGGACCAAGATGACCTGAAAATAACCAAGCTTCATCGTAGGTCCAGGCCAAAGGGCTGAGAAAATTTGCAGCAAAGCCTGAAAGGTGAAAGCCGAAGACATTCCTTAGGACCATATGCCGAGCTGTCGAATAGTCTACTATTCACTGATCAGGTCGATTATCCACCCCAGATTTGGGCCAGCACTGTCCCCTGTTTTCAAGGAGTCTGTGTGTGTGTGTGGCTTCCAGTCACTCTCCTAATAAGCGGTATTGAAGTCTGTTTTCAAGCCATCTTGTTGACCACTTTGAAGACAAGCAGCAGAACATACGCATATTCTGTAGAGTAGTGCAGATTCATTGGGATGCAAGTGACTATGCTCAGCGAATGTAGGCCTGCCTCAGTATGATTTCAGGAATGCAGCAGTAAAGGCAGTCTCTGAACGAGTCAAAACAACTCCATCTTGTTAGAGCCGTTAGAGCTTGCTTTTCGCAGTGCATTCAAGTGTTACCTGTGCGTCAGAGCGGCAATGAAAACCATTACAGCCAAAGGCATATTCTTTGGTCCATTCTCTGCATCCTGCCAGGAGAAGATTTTCCCTTTGAGATAAATGGTGCCAATTTGTGTTGCACTGAAAGCTTCTTTAAGGCATCTTGCTCCCTTCACTTTTGTTTCTGTCAGCCTTGCAATGCTTCGTGCTAAGCTAATGGTGCTAGCTGATGTTGTCTGCCCATCCCTTCTCCCTGACATCCTTGCGGGAGTACAGCGCCAGTGCCACGTGTACCAACCCCACCGCAGCACCCAAAAGCGCAGCATGACGAATCAGCGCAGCTGACCACGACTGACCAATGCTCAAAGCAGCTGACTGCAACTGACAAAATCTCACATCAAACCGAATCAAAGCACATCCCGACTTGGCCTTGCTAACTTTCCGTGTGACTTCTGGCAAACAAAGGAATATGCCAACCAAATGCCTTGGAAAGTGACAATGATTCTGAGTCCAATTGCAGTTTGAAACCAGCCAGAGCCTTCAAAAGGCTGAGGATACAGTATCCTTCCTTGTCCTTGCCTACTCATGTCAGATGTGTAAAGCCTTGCTAAGCGCTAGCTCGGTGTCAGAGTACCATTGAAACGCCAGCTTAAAAAAAAAAAACTGGCACCGCACCCTTCTCCATTGCTTGAACCGTTCTCCAAATGCAGCCGATGCACTGGGAACCCACCAAAATGCCAGTAGCGCCCAAGTCATAAGCTGCTGTGTGTGGCAGTTTTGCCAGTGACAGACCTGACTCCCAAAATCCACAGGTCAAATCAAGTGTGTGTATCCAACAGAAGCATCCAGCTGCCGTTTGACACTTGCGAAGCAGCGCAAAGAAGATACTATCAACAAAAAAGACCATTATCTGCAACCTCAATTCATCTCCCGTGGGGTGTTTTGAATTCTGTCTCGACCAAGAACGTCTGCATCATTCGCTGTATTTGCTTTCAATATTCACACAACTCAGCTTAACATGCACACTGTGTCACATGCACACATCGTCATAGGTGGTCACTATAGACCATAGACATCGATAGACCATGCGCATCCATGCCTTGCATTCTTTGTGAAAGTCCTGCCTGGAGGTGAGTCCCGTTGAATTCCTTCCAAGTAGAAGGGGCTGCTTTCCTGACACGGTTTTTCCAAGTATTTTCTGCGTCATTTCATTCGGGTTGCTGAAGCTTGCTCTACATTACCGCTGTGTGTGAACATTAGAATCATTAGGTGGTTGACCTGTATGGAGTTTGACCATTTTTGCCTGCTCCTATGATGTTTCTCTGGCCTCATCTGTTCGCTCATTTGATTTCCACACTTAGCATCCTGCCTTCAACCACGATGCAACAGATTTTCTGCATCCCAGCAACAAAGGCACAGCCACAAACCTCACTTCCGTGTCCAAACGGAAGCGGGCTGTGAAAAGAAAGAGACTCACTAGACTGCAAACAAGAAGAACGTCACAAAATGTCACAAAGACTCCCAGGCCGGAATGCAGCGGGGCAACAGTGTTAAAAGAGTCAATTCTGCTATCTGTCCCAGCAGAGTTGGTTGAAGCTCGGCATCTGCATCCATTTCGCAGTCCAAAGCAGGTCTGCAAGCTATCGTCCAAGGTTGGTGTTTGATCTGCCTAATCTGCCTATCCAGAATGCTTAGTCAAATTGTTGATTGGCTTGTCCACAAGCCATTTAGCGTCGAGGGACAAATGATTGCAATATCTCTTGTGTTTCCATTCGCGTCTCAAACAAGGAAAGCTTGATCCAAAGAGCAGATGGCCTTCATAAAAGTCACAAGCGCGCCATGTATTGGACAGAGACAACCACCGCAAGGCAACAACCACCTGAATTCTGCCAAACCATGTTCACCACCTGACATGGTATGTTCGGAGCACGGCAGGCTTCATGTGCCTCCTCAAGCTGCTCCTCTTTCAACAGTGAGGAGAAAGACGCAGGCTGCCAAGCATTTCTCAACAAGACACACTCACCAGCAAGATGTCCAATTGCTCCAAGATCCTGCTTGTCCAAGTGGGGTGGACATACCGTCAAAACGAACGTCCTCAAGAATTCTCTTGAGGTGACATGCCTCTAGTCAGCTGACTCTTTTTGTTTCCACAGTAATTATGCTCTGCATTGCTCTGCATGCAACGACCGCAACACATACCTTTGAGTGTCACTCGGAAGCTCGATCAAGATACAGTCCTGCGCTGTGCTTGGTATGCCTTAATATGCAATGGAATTTGCTTCTAGCTCTGGCTTGACAAGTTCCACGACAGATTGGAAGTGAAGCTTTGAGCAGTGGTTAGATGCACCAACCAACAAGTTCCTTTGCAATGAATAGTTGTGAATACATGTGAATACTATTTGTAATAAGCGGTGTTCAAAGAAATACAAAGAAATAGGTCGATCATGGTCGGCCTGTCAGCTTGCTCTACGCAAAGCAACTGATGCAAAATAAAACATCCTCTCAACCAGATAAACTGAAGAAATGTATTCTAAACAGGTGGAAGATTTTCTTCACCTTCTAAGGCTCTCACGGCTCTCACCGTAATGATGAAAATTGGCAGAACATATGCAGAAGATTGAAATCATCAGACCTGATCGAGCAGTCTATCAGATCTATCAGCAGCATCCTGGCGTCGCCAAGCTCGGCTGCATTTGCAGGTGCTCAGCTTCCATGCGCACAATTTAAGTGGCGCAAGCAAATTCCAAGGAATGTCCCATGGAAACAATACGTTTCCAAATGTGTGGACCATTTACTAAATTATCATATAAATATAGATTAAATTATAGATTATAGATTCTGTCAATACATGACGTAAGTACTTGTTGAAGTCGGTCAGTCATGCCGGACTCGAAAGCTTAACATGGCAACAATATGCTACAATTATCTACACATTTGGGAGGGCAATGGATGCCACAAATCAAACAGCTCGTTGAGGGCAAAAACAATCAACTTTTCTGCCTTTATTCCTTCCTCCGCAACCTTTGCGGTCGTTACTGGGTGCTGCGGTCAGCTTCAGTGAGTACGCACAAATGCACTGTTACTGTCAGTGGCAAGGATTGTCGAAAGGTAAACAATCTCTCAACCAGGGGAACAAGGCTTGAACCATGGTCATTCCAAGAAATGTTCATGATGATATCAGGTATGGATTCCGTCAACAAGCCAAAAAGAAGTTCGTAGCCAGTGACGGCAGCCAGTGCATTCCTGCACTTGACTCATCGCGGTCTGGGGCTCAGAAACATCGAAGGGAAGGTCCGTCACCCAACCAACCTGCCTGGGCATGGCTACACCAGCGTTGATTCGCCAAAGATGCCACGAGGCTGAATGGTTTCCATTGGTGTTCATGCAAGATCATAAAAGTAGATAAATCAAGGTGAAACTAGCTGCAATGACAGAAGCTGCAAAGAAAGTGTTCTCATTTTTCAAGATCAAAATGCATGACATCCAACACATTCTGCATCTGGTCTCTGTATTTCTGCACCTGCTCGTTCCAGCCTTCCATGTATTTTTGAAGAAACCTGGCACAGAAGGTGAAAATTCCGTGACCACTTTGCAAAAACCTGTTCCCACAGAGCGGTGCTCCTACGAGGCCCGCTCGCGTCCCATGTGTGCCACACTTGCTGGTGCCTACCATTTCGGGCCCCTTTGTCTTAATCCGGGATAGCATCTTGAATTTTGAAGGTGACGATCTGTTACAACATCCGACTATGCCACAATTCACTAGGAATTTTGTGTTCGACCAGAAGGTGTGCCCACGTTCTGGGAATCTAACCTAAGATTCCAATCGGTGCCTTGCAAGAGCCAGAGGGTTCAACTGGATCGGATGGGCAAGGCAGCAAGGCAATCCCGTTTATTCGGCGAAAACTCAACAAAAGATCTTGCAGAAAAGGACTAGACCTATGGATCTGCCAATGGAATCTGAGGGTGATGGTGCGGTTCCCCCAATTCAGTGCCTTCAAAGAACGGTAGCTCAGAACAAACATTTATGGTCTCAACTGGGAAGGTCGACAAGGATGCTTAGCGGCCGGAGATGGTCATGGCGTGAGGATAGAAGCTGCCGAGGATGATGGGCCGAGGAGTGTGGGACTTGTGGAAAGCTCAATGAACCTGGCAGAAAGATGAGTAAAGATGGGATGATAGTCTTTTAAAGGGCGCTTGAAGGTGAACTAGTAGATTTCTTGAGGAAACAGAATTCGAAGCTACTAGATTAAGTAGCGGCTCTCAGAGACAAGCTGGATAAATCATCCGGGGCTAGTTCTTCACCATGGTCTGCAGTTGGTGGTTCTTTGAGAGATTCACAACGACATGAACGTCATGGTAGACAGAATGGGAACGAAGGACCAGTTGAGGTTCACCCCAAACGGGACAAGAGTACCAGATGGTCCCCCTCCGAAGAATGATGATGATGATGATGATGATGTGTCAATGCCACCGGTGCCTTCGTCCTTCTTGTAGCTCGTGAACTACATAGTGGGGATGATCAAACTGGAAGTTTTGTCAAAGTCTTTACGACACCTGTGAGTCCAAGCCAATGGTCAAGAATGCTGATTTACCATGGAAACCTTAGAATGAACAATGTTGTAACAGAGGAATTCTTTCTGTAAGCGCTTGATCGAGTAGCAGTTCCCCCAATGCAAAGTTCTGACCTATGGGCTGTCCCGGTTGGCTGCACCCTGTCTCCGCCAAGACTGCCAATTCTTCCTTCTTGACGTCAGAGCAAAATATAGCAAAATTAGTACACCGATTAAACTTCTCTTGGGAAATGAAGAGGGTTGCAAAAGGACTTCGAGGGTTCAAGGGCTGAGAGTTGACAAGACATGCATTTAGAATCCGTGGCAAAGAGATACAATCTCAAGCAGACTCAAGCAATCATGTCGGCGGAACAAATCCATTGGTTTCACCAAATCCTCACCTTGGCACAGCCAAAGATGTAAAAGGCGAACGAAAGCCGACAGGAGAAGGGGTTCAAAGGGAAGCGGTATCATTGCAGCGTCTGCTGTCGTGTTCGGAAACTTGCTGAGACAAAGAACTCACACGAGGTGTCTCATGATCTTTTCTTTGCAGAGATTGTGAATCTTCCATTCATTTCGATTCGCAATTCGCCAACCCTTACTTTCATTACGAAACTCTAGTCGAGCTTCATCTGACCCCGCTTTTGTTCAAATGCTGCTACTAAACTTACACATGCAATGAGGCGTGTTGACTCAAGCCTCTACACAGCTAAGGCTTGTCGCTTGCTACCCTAAAGCTTCTTGGGTCAACATGTGATGAGACTCCATGCACCCGTGTTAATCATCTCTAATCTTGTCCGAAATTCGAGTCGAGGCAGTCGAGGTATGTCGAGGTCATCTTATATAACTATTGAAAATCCTGATGTGCATAACCTGCATAACCTGAGGCCACTACGTAAAGACCAGTGGTTGTGTGTGGCGTTGGCCGGAAAGTGGCCCTGGCGCAAACTGAAACCTCCGTGTTGAATTCATAGTCGTAATAGTGTGCTTAACAATGTCAAGCCATGGACACATGACCTTCAAACTGCCAAGATGTGTCCATAGCCACCTTCACTAATTACAATGTCTCTCAAACCTTGTTGCCATTCAAGCCAAGGGGGTCGCTACGAAGCTTTTGACACAAATACCCAGTACCACTATTGACAGGCTGACAGGTGCCTGCAGGGCAACTCGAACAGACAAAGAGACATCTCCATTCCCACAGCGAAATTGTCTGCCTCAATGCAGGGATGCCCCAAGTCTTGAGCCTCACGGCCAGACACAAAGCGACTCATCGATGGATCGGGCACAGGTCACAGCAAGCACGACAAAAGTCCGGTCATAGCTCCGTCAAGCAGGTCCGCCCAATCCAAAGAAAAACATACAAGATTCTTCAAGAAACAGGAATTGGGCATGAATGCATCCTAGAAGAAAGATAGAACAAAGAATAAAACCTCATACTTCTTGGCAGTCTTTCATGAAGCCAAAGAAAATGGAAACTGCAGAAGCATCGAAAACTCCGGCCTGCTTTAGCAGTGTCCTGCCATGATAAGGCTTGATCACCTGCAACCAGGTGCTTCAGGTGGGATGGAAGGCTACGATGTGCGCCATGACTCTGGATATCTCTGGATTGCTTGCTGCACTTGCCTTATCCAGCTGGCCATGGAGAATCAAGATGGGCACCTCAAATCAAAATGAGCCAGGAAGTACTGATCCAACACTGAACAATAAGACATGTTCGCACCTCATACACATCATTTCACGTCATGTCAGTCGTGTGTATTGCTTGTCAACATATCAATCTCTTGAAGACATGGGCTGAAAAGCTGAGCCCTTAGCAGGGCTGCGTCCAGGTGATTGGCCTCCCAAGACATTGCAATGGACCGAAGTTCATTGTGATGCACACGAAAAGGAATGGCTTAGCTAGGAATTCTGCGAAATCTTGCACAATGTCTAGCAAAAAAGATGGGAAGAACAGGTCGCCAAGGGGTTGAGATAGTCTACAGTGTCTACAGGTCTATCTACAGGTCTACAGGTCTACAGTTTTGTCTGCTTTCAACAAAAACGGCGACATTCCTCTCTCTCTTTGACAAGAACATGTAAGGCCACCACACAGGCGCCGCATAGTCTCCATGTTATTGTAGCAATCTGCAGGTACGAGCAAACTTCCTGGCGTTGAAAGCGGTTGGTGACTGCAACTGGATGACTGCAGCTGGGCGAAGCTATGCTGGAGCTATACCTGGTGTATCGTATAACACTTGCAGCGAGCCAGGCTCTACATGGCGAATCGTACCAGTTTCATCCAGTTTCATCCAGTTTCAAGCTTCCAAGAAACATCTTCCCCCAAGATGTGCACTGTAGCCACTGTGGCCACTGTGGCCTGTCAGCACCACCTATGGACTTGGCAAATATGTGTTTATCCGAGGGACCTGCAAGGCCCACATAGTCAGCTGCCACTTGTCGAACACTGATGAAGGGGCACCTTGTCGAGTGTCAAACACAACAAAAAAAACATTCGCAAAATGTCAAATCAAGTCTCCCTGTTCCACTTTCCGGGTCATCTACCATACCATTAGCAGGCAAACAAAAAGCCACAATGAGAGGAAAGCAAGAAGACAAGCAAACCCGGATGTTACCTTAGGTATGAGGTTGAGATTTTTACCCATCCCCAATGCTGCGAGTTGCTGAAGAATGATACCACCAATCTCCCACTGGAACCTGGCCAAAGCAGTTCAGGCCAGTGTCATTGGAACATTGTTGCGGCATGGGGAATTTATATACTCCTGCAGTAATTGCAAGCAGTCCCATTCCAAAATCCTGTCAATGTCGATGTAATAAGTTCATATCGTGTTAATATAATGTCCACATCTTTTGTGGCACAAGTGTCAGTGTCAAAAACCACATTGTAAAGTACGACGGCAGGACATATCAAAAGCCCGCTTCGCCAAAGTGAGGACAGGCCTCAGCAAATTTAGAGAGTGCCGTGTCAATGCGTGGGAACTCAGCGGAGGAGATCGTCGGCTTGTGTATTAGACAAGTCTTTGCAGACCGTTGCTAGAACCATGAATCAAACATGTTCAAACCATATTTCTTGCCTTTTGATGATGCTAAGCATTCAATCCCAATGATCTTGGGAAGCATCGGTACCCCTCAGTGCCAATGAATTTAAATGTTGACCAACCCCATCTGTCCAAACCCCTCATGGGTTCTGCACGCACTGCCGAGAGAGCGCCCATGGAGAACAATCTGCAGTCAAGAATCAGCTTGGAATAGTGGGGTCTCTGCTGCAAATTAAGATGGACGTCGAACTGTCAGACGCACCCAGAAACAGCCATCAACCTCCTAGCTGCAAAGATTTCGTGATCTGCCACTCCCACTTATGCTATGACTGAAACAAGTATTGTACCATGGTGCGTAAAGTTTCAACCCTCCTAAGCCAGAACCTTCCAAACCACTGTAGCAGGCACACATCTCCCAACACTGAAGAATATCACGCAACATCGGGGTCGCTTGGCTACCTATTTGTGTGCCATACCCAAATTACGTGGAACTGCATGCAAAATCACGCCTGAGAAGGATAAATTCCTTTCACTTGACAACAGAATAACCTCAGGGAACGCACGAACCAATGAACATGTACAATTTTGATCAATTTCGTGGAATTTACACAGAGTTCCCTTGTGCACCTGAAAGGTACAGAACGAACAAAACGAACACAATATGAATGTGTTTGAAATTACACTATTCCAAACATTTCAACATGCCTGCAGTGCAATCCAGAAGCGTGGTAGTTCAGCAATAAAACCAATCAAAACCAGCAAACCAGCGTTTAAAATCTTCAGAGTGTCTATATGTGTTGGTTTTTCATGGCTCTTTTGCCAGGCACAAATATCATAGCTGCGCTGCTTGGAGAACTGATCGATCCGGTCGCCATCGTCTCGGTCCCAGGCAACGCATGTATCGCAACGTCATCCACTCCTCCAAAGCTCACCTGGCTTGGAGAAAGAATGACATGTGAAGCGAAGGGTTGAAACACTTGGAACCTTAACAAACCCCAGAGGTGCATTAACAGTAATATGCCGCGAAACGTGTTGCCCGCATTGTCCCTAATTTATCCTAATTTCAAGATCTCGTTCTAATTCGCAGCAAAGACGCTCCAGCTTTGCCAAACCAGTGAAACAATCATCAACATGACCAACTTCTGTGCTAATCAAACTCATTCAAATGGGCGAAGCCTTCTGGGAAACCAGCATCGCTCCCAGAGGCACCACCTTTGCTTTTTGGGCTAACCAGTTTATAAAGATTTCTAATCTTTGGCCCAGCTTCTGATTCTGTTTTTGTATGCAAACACATATATAAACTTTGGGGGTCTTGATTTTGCTTTTGGAGATGTTACGAGAAACAAATCCATCAACGTCAGGCACCCTGGACAGAATACAACACAGCCGGATAGCCACATTTTCTGTGAGTTCAATTGGCTTGGGCTGGGCACAACATTGTGCAGCCATTTTGTTGTGAAGCTTTTTGTCCAGTTTTCTTTCTTTTCGGCTTATTTGTTTCGATTTATGAGTTTCCCAAAGCACTGTGATTCCAAACAAACTTCGAAGACAAAACATGCATAGTAGATCAATGCATGCTTATCACTTGGCTTGGGCACTCAGTGTTGATTTTCGTTGTTGGTGCAGTGTCTCAATAACCATTTCCCTTGCAAAGACCCGGTTGGAAGAAAATCTGGCATTGTGATTGAGGAGAGACATTTTGGAGCAGTGAATCAGGGCCTGCCATTTTTGTAGCACAATGGTTTGGCTCTGCCATTTTGTAGCTGCCATCTAAGGATTTGATTGCACCTATCACCTATCTGTTTCCCACTTGGCCCCTTGTAAAAGTCAATGCAAAAAGTCACCTTGATTCAAATTGATTGGATTATGACATCAGAACCTGTTGGCTCTGAACGTGGTGATGAGTGGGAGACCTGACACTGTCACGTGAGGGAATCAAATGATACATCGCATCCCTCAATTCAACTCTAGGGGCTGCTGGCGGTCCTTTTCCTCAGTCCCAATCAGCTTATACTTGATATAATTGATATAATTGGGAAATATTATAAGATATTGGGACATAAAGTTGAGATAAAGTTTCAAAACGTTTCAATCACAGCGGGGAGACAGTTCAAACTGCATGCCTGGTCCTTTGGCAAACCCATTGGCACCTCCTCACAGCCTTTGCTCTTCAGACAAAGACCATATCCGGGATACTCCACCGCCAGGACGTTGCACTGCACAGCAAGAAATCTCCGGCAGTGAGAAAGTCGGCATCGAACATTTCAAATGTTTGCAGGTATTGGATTTCGGAGAACTCCTATGGACTCAAGACTTCGCAGATCACAGGGACGACTGCGCGCTGGGAATTTCTGAGTATGTTGACTGGAGAATCTCTGTTGTGCACCTCAGTTGGCTTCCCAAGCCTATGCTCAACTGGAGAAGCATGTGTCCCAGGCCTTCATCGCTTGGGTGAACTGCACAATGTCTGCTTCTATGAGCTGCAAATCCTGCCGATCTGCCGAGGATTTAGCTTCATCCAAGGGATCTCCGGCCACTGGAGAACCACCACAGCTTCAGTGCACTGCTGCACAGCTTCAGTGTGTACAACATGAAATTGCCATCGCAACCATTGAAGGTCTGAGGAAGGAGAGCGGAAGCACTGAGGCAATTTGTTTTGCTCAGATATCCATGAGAGCATCATGCAACTAGTCATAAAGACGACACTTTGGGATGCATATGCAGCCTACAAGTTGAAGAGAAAATGTGCATTAAGCTTTGTTTTGCCTAAAGTCACCCTTCACTGTTGAAGCTTTTCCTGTGGGATAATGTGGTAAGTCGTTCCAGAAACCCACCCAGCCTCAGCATTGCCATGGAAGAAGATCACAGTCCTCGCGTTTATGGGTAACAACCTTTAGGTAGGAGGGTTTAATACTTCAGGATCATTCTCACTGATATTACTGAAGCCCTACAAAGGCAGGCGTCGAGGTGGGAAGAGAAGCAAGGCGTTTCTGTGCACTGGTTTTGAACGAAACGTATCTCCGGAGTTTATGGAGCTTGGGCTTGGCTTTCATTGAATAATCTAAAAACAGAAAACGGGCCACACAAGGCAAGAATCATGATCCGGGTGATGCTGTTGCTGCATCATAGCAGGGTCAATGGACCTTGCCAGACCCAGTTCCAAAAAACGGGTTGTGGTGCGTCACAGTGATGAAGGGCTCACACCTGGTCTGTGACTTGTCTGGGTGCAGGGTATTGTGCTTTGCACATGGAACGTGCAGCTCTGTCCAGGAATGGGATGTTTGAGGGCTGCTGTGTTTCTCCATGGTGAGACACCCCGTGGCCACAGGGTGTATCCACTGACTCAGGTTGCAAGCATTAAGGGAGGAGTGATCTGTGCGGGCGCAATAAGCAGCTATATTTCATGTATGTAAGCGGGTCTATACATGCATGACAATTGGCTATAGACTGAGCATATTTCTCGGGTTGCTGGCTGCTGGTTGAACACCTTTCGTAGACCAGCGGCATCCATGGCATTCGTGCCAGCGCTTTCCCAATCCATATCAAGATTTCCCTTTTGCACTCTGTAAAGCTTTGACACCTTCCCTTCACAGGCTCGTGTGTTCTCACTTTCAATTTCAGGGCTACTTACCTTGTGTGATACAAAATCGATGACCCTTGCACCCCCGATACATTTGTATCCCTTGCTTGCACCCAAAGTGCAATCATAAAAATCACGAAGGTATGAGTTCAGCGTGTTTCCTTCCGTCAAATTGCCAAATCAGCTGCATTAGCGGGCTTGCTGGGAGGAATGGACAAGTTTGTTTGATTTGGGATGTGACTGAAGATTGTTTTGAAGTCATACTTTTATCTACTGGCAGTCCTCTTGCTCCGTGCCCCCTCGGGTGCCGAGAACCAAAGAAAGGGTCGAGCAACCTCAGCCGAATCTCTGCCCATTCTATATATTTTATGCATTTTTATGCACAAATGCTCTTGCTTTGATTAATTAAGTTGTGCCTGAAACTCTTCCGCTAAAGATCTCACCATGCATCTTGATATCTCATCAAGCCAGGCTGAGTTTTTGGCGCCACCGCCAGGAAGCTTTGCAGGGCGCTGGTCCCAAACAATGTTCTTCGATGCCTCCACGGGGTTCCAAAATCTGTCCATTTCAAACTCTTGAGGATTTGACCCTGTGCCAAATGGCAAACAAGTAAACAAGTCTGGCTCAGCCTGGGCTCTCTGCTGATCTGGAAGTTCCGGGGGCAGGAAAACCTGGAACGATCAGGAACCAAAAAAAAAGTGATCTTCATTTCCCCGAAAGCAGTTGTTACATAGTCGTTGGAAGGGCAGAAAAAGAAACTATCTGTGGGTCAAGGCAATAATTACTAGTAGCTGGGAAAAAGTCACATAACCCGCAGCAATCAAGACGCACATGCTAGATCGAGCAAAAAAAAGACCCCTCCGTGGCTTGCTAACTTATTTGGCTTCGAGCTTCCTGGAAAAAGACTTGGAGTCTTCACATGGAACGGCCTACAGGGCATCTTGGAACCTTTGCCTAACAAGTTTCCGAAACCTCCCCGAATACTGCATGAAATTGGTGTTCAAGAGCTGGGTAAAAAAAATATATATATACTTACATGTATATATTATATATATATACACATGTGCAAAACAAATATGGTGAAAACTGAGACCCGCACGAAGGATGCTGCCAGGCTGAGTCCCATGGCACTGAAAGAATGGATCAGTGGCTCAGTCGCGCTTCCGCAATGAGCGGAGGAATAGATTGTAGACACCAAATAAAGTTCGGCCAATTTTGTCAATCAGTGGACAACTGTTGGCTCCTCAAAGCAAAGTCATAGAAAAACATAGAAAAACAACTTAACACATGTGAGCTTCCCAAGCAATGCGAATTGATTGCCATGACATGTCATGAAGTTGTGGTTTCAAACTTTGGGATAATGAGGGTTTTTGGGAAGCGTCTCGAATGCCTAGGTCTGTGAGCGCTTCAATACAACTTTAGTCTGACCAGAAAAATCTTTAGAATTCTTAAGATTTCCATGTAATGCATGCAGCTTCAATCAGCCAAATCTCAATTCACAGCAGATTTGCCTGCGTCATCCCTATATGTTGTGTTGGTTCTTTTTCAACACAAACGTATCAACACCCAAATGCCTTTTTCAAAAAGATAGAAAGAAGTGTCTTGTTCAAAATAAATATGATCGTGCCAGAGAAACCCATCAACGTTTGGTAGCCTAAATGTACATAAGCCACTGTGAAATTGTTTGGTAGCACATGGTTGGCAGCAAATGTTAATCGATCTGCAAGTATGATTAAGCCGTCTTGCACTGAAAAGATTGATCTGGACCATATTGTTCAGTGCTTTGTGCAGGAACTTCGACTCGAACCTGTTGTGGACAGAATCAGAACGTGCTATGCTGCGTTTTTGGTCCCCATGCTGATCTGGTCGATCCCCCTGAGTTCAAAATTCGTAAGGACTGCATAGGCAGGTTCCTTTGCAGTAATTCGTTTGCTGTTGCCATTGTATCGGTCCATGCAGCTATCTGCCAACAGAAACAAACAGTTTCCAAGAGCAAAATTTACATGCACACCAGATACCAATGGAAATACTATATTTATATATATTTGTAATTATATAAGTGTCTAGTACAACTATATACATATGTAAGGTGTCAGTGAACATTTTTCAGGCTCAGCAAACGAGGAGCTAATTCTTTGTAGCTCCATCGGTCGGTCATTGGCAAGAGCTGAACATTTGTACATGGCATATTCCACGCTGGAGACTCAAGGACAAGGTGTACGACTCTGTTTAGGAAAAAACGCCCTCTTCAAATTCATATACCGGTCAGGATTCCCTTTCATCCCTGTGAATTTGTGCATATCCATCCCCTAGCATTTCGTGTAATATGTAGAAAATATTATTACACACTTTCTTTTGTCTGTGGCTTGCATGTGGAACCTATTAACCCACTATTAATAGGTTCCCAAACTAAATTCGCAAGCAACAGCGTTGCAGCAACACACTTTTCCCTGCATAAAACTCCGAGAATAATGCAAGATGAAGCGGTGGACATAGTTCGACCAATTGTGCAAGTGACCACCGCCACAAGAGCATACGCATGTGCTCGCGTGCTCAACAACTGGAAGATCCGATGGGGCGAACCCGACAACTCAAGATCCAACTCTTCACTGCACAAGCCGGCAGCCTCAGCCACTAATTCGGCAAAATCTCTGCGCTTCACACTGGCTTTGCGACCTTGCATATCTAGCAAAGCCGCCTCGGATAGCACACGACGCCAAGGCACCCAGGCCCAAGCCTTTTGTTGGCACTGGTGCTGAATGCAATGAAGGAACTGAAGAGCAGGTATGGTTTCAGGAACCAATGCAACACCAGGGTAATTCGTCTCAAACAAGCGAATCAACTTCTCGCGCTCACCCACATCCAATTTGCTCTGGGTCCCAAAAGGCGTCAAAGCCAAAGAAGCCGGAGGCTCCTTTGCAGGTGGTGTGGCCTCCAAAGGTAAAGGCGAGGGCGACAAATGTTTCCACAGAGCACGAAGATTGCCACACATGGCCGATGAAAGCCATTCGTCATCTGGCAAGACGCAGGCGGAAGCAACCTTCGCCTTCAATCGCTTCAACCACCCTTCCAGCGCATCACTATCAATAATGGCATTCACAAACGTAGCATCACGCTTGAAGCCCAAAGTGATGATGGCAGCAATCACGTCCTCTTCAACACCAAAGTCCTGCAACTGTTTCTTCCACGCACTTTCGGCCATCTCACAACACAAGCAAAATGAAACACAAGCCAAATTGCAACAATCTTGCTACACGTTGGCAAACGTGAAAACGCGTCTCAGCTGAAACAAAATACCACGTACAACAAGGTGCGCACAGCACCCAAACATGTGATGCACACAGCATAAAACAACATGCGATGCACACGGCATCAAACAAACGTGATGCACACGGCATCAAAACTAGGACCAAAGCCCAACGCGATGCACACGGCATCAAACAAACGCGATGCACACGGCATCAAAACTGGGACCAATGCCCAACACGATGCACACGGCATCAAACAAACGCGATGCACACGGCATCAAAACTGGGACCAAAGCCCAACGCGATGCACACGGCATCAAACAAACGCGATGCACACGGCATCAAAACTGGGACCAATGCCCAACGCGACGCACACGGCATCAAACAAACGCGATGCACACGGCATCAAAACTGGGACCAATGCCCAACGCGACGCACACGGCATCAAACAAACGCGATGCACACGGCATCAAACAAACGCGATGCATACAGCATCAAATTACTGCATTGAAAAGCATCAAAAATTGCCATGCACCTGGCCACAAAATACATGGGACAAACTATGCCCACAACGATGCACAAGCAAAACAACTTGTCACCAGTGACACGATACAAAGGGAGCCACGTCCCACGCTACATAGGCACTTGGGCCAACATATGACGAAGCTTCACTCATACTTGCTCCAAAATTCTGACACACGCAGAATGGGAACACGGAACTAAAGCATCTTCCAAATCAACTGGATCTGTGTCGAACAATTCCCAATGAGGAGCATCCACTGGACACCGGGGAGCGCATGCCCGCCCGCAGCGACCATTCAAAGATATGACAGCATGAAAGCATGCAGTGATCCGATTCACCAAGAATTGCGGCTGCTGCGCAACTGCATCCTCTTCACCATCAACCTCATCCTCAACAATTTCTGATTCGGAATCTGAACTGGAACAACTGGAAGAATTTGAAGTATCCTCAGTATCCGTACCTGCATCAACCTGCTCGCCTACTGGATCTACACCAGGTGGCACCAGCAAAGGCGCAGAATTAGAAACATCAATTCCTACTTCTTGAAGAGGCGATTTGGCTCCACGAGCTTGAGGCGTCAAAGGAAACCATCCCCTGCGAATAGCACGCAAAACATGTAGCTGTGCACGCAAGGCAGGCAAAACATCATCTCTGGAATATCTTGCAACCATAACTTCCCCCGGCTCGCGGCAGCGGTGATGCCCCCAAAAACGACGACCGACAGAATCAACATCCAGTTGTAATGCCCAAGACAAGCCCGTAGCTTTCAAAGAGTGTAAGGAATAGTTCCACGCGCTATCTACTGGGACCTGCGCTTTCTGAACCAGAAGGCGTCGCAAGCTGCTTAGAACAGGCTAAATGACGCACACGTACCCTGCGGCGTTTGGAAAAAGAAGTCGCTCCCAGCAAGATGTGCCTTTACATGATCCACTGCCACGCTCCAATCGCTATGCACTCCACCAGTTAGTACGCCAAAAGGCATGCCATCAACTGACGATTTTGTGCGCCAGCACTCGCCCCTAACCAGACCAGGAAGAATCTCAAGAGCTTCAACTTTGACTCGCTGTATGTCAGAAAATCGCAGTGCGCCCCAAATCATCAGCAGAAAACCAACCAAAAGAAAAGTATCAGAATTGAAATTGCCAGAAATGAAGTCTGCAAGGACGGCTTCCTCAAAGGCAGACACAGCACATAATGGCAAGGGCAATGCTTCCTTGCGCAGGCGGCGATGAACACCAGCTTTACACCAGGCTACAGCAACAGGACTATTCAACATCGTTCCCCACTCATCGAAGCCTAAAAGCCCTGCAACAAAACGCAGTGCGGCCATGCAAGATGCAGCTCCTTGCTTAGCTTCTGCCAGAGAGGCCAAGAAACGCACTTGATGAACAAACTCAGGATTGACCAACGAATAGCGATAGCACCGCGCAAAATCGCACCAACGACGCCAACCCGGCAAATGCCTTCGCAAAGTCCCTGCTGCCTTTCCTTTGAGGACCTGCTCCAAAGATTTCGCTGCTGAAGCGCCTAGTGCAGCAAAGGATGGCGCAGATGAAAGGCAGGGAGCCAATTCAGTAAGCCATCTATCAGCCCACTTGCGCCAACCTTGCTCTTCTGCTTCCTTAGCTGACCCTTGAGGCGGTGCCAATGGCATAGCGCAAGCATGCATCCATGAAGGTCGCGAAACAATACCAAGTCCAAGCCAACCATCGCCTGCACTACATTGCTGCACCGATGGTTCCTGATTTACCACCAGCATCACCGGACGAGCATACACATGCCACTGCGGGCGAGGGAGCCCCGGCTGCAATCCCTCAAGCGAATAAGGAGCAGCACGCCCTGGTCGTGAAGGCCGAGCCAGGGGCATAGCAACAGGAAGAAAATAAAAGAACACAAGCAAAACCAAGATCGCTTTTCAGCAGCTGCCCTTCCACATAAACCAAGCTGCCACAGCAGCAACTCTGCAGCTGCACTTGAACAAGCAAAACTAACATCAGCAACATGCTCAATTAAACATACCATCATGCCACACACTCAAAGCAATCATACAGGGCAAGGGGAACAATATTTAGTTGGGTTAGTCAGGCGCACTGGCCGTATCCCAGCCCACCCCAGTGCCCCTGGGCCAACATGCGAATCATGTCAGTTCGCAAGCATGTATAAAGTTTTCTCGGAAGGCACCCGGTGGTGTTAGCTGCTTGATTGCTGATGTGCACACTTACTTGAGCGAATGGTTTCTCCTTCAGGTTTTGAAGTCTCCCCCTCTGACATCAAAGTTCTGCACTGCATGTTGCATGCACATCTGTATACATATTTAACTTCCAAGCAGGTCCTTAGGTATTGAGATTGCCTATTTTGTCGGGCACCGAAGGCTTAACTTTAAGGGGGTCAAATCGAAT